AACGTGTGATAGTCCTTTAAAAACCAGTCAATCAGAATTTAGGACCAGCATGTTTCTGTGATGATAATAAGGATGGCAAAATTTGGGAACCCTGGGTGACAAAGAGATTAAAAGTTTAGTCGAAAAGAAAAGGAAGCATATGTAAGATTTAGGAAACTGAAATCAGCCAAGACCCTTGAGGAATACAAATGAAGCAGGAAAGAGCTTAAACAAGGAATTAGGAAGGCTAAAAAAGGCCATGAAATTTCCATGACATGTAGGGCTAGGGAGAATCCCAAAACATTTTATACGTACATTAGGAGCAAGAGGGTAGCCAGGAAAGAGTAGGTCCACTCCAGGACAAAGGAGGGAATTTATGTATGGAGCTGGAGGAGGTGGGTGGGGACCTTAATGACATTGATATTTACCATGAGAAGGACATGAATGATGGTAAAATTAGGAACAGATGTGTTGATATTCTGGGGCATATTGATATTAAGAAAGAGGAGGTGTTGGGTTTCTTGTAAAACAAGCAAGGGAGACCTTAACAGAGATCTTTGCACCCTCTTTACCCACAGGTAAGGTTCCAGAAGACTGGACAATAGCCAGTATTGTTCCTTTGTTTAAGGGCAACAGGGATAATCCAGGAAATAAATCCGTGGTAGGGAAATTATTGGAGAAGATTCTTAGGGTCAGGATTTACTCCTATTTGGGAAAGAATGGACTCATTTGGGATAGTCAGCATGGTGTTGTGCAGGGGAGATCTTATTTCACAGACTTGATTGAGTTTTTTGAGAATGTACTACATAAGATTGATGAGGGTAGTGAAATGGATGTCATCTACATGGACCTTACTAAAGCATTTGACAAGATTCCTCATGGTAGATAGGTCCAGAAGATTAAGTCACATGGGGCTCATGGTAAGTTGGTAAATTAGATATAAAATTGGCTTAGTAATGGAAGACAGAGAGTAGTTATGAAAGGGTGTTTTTCTGATTGGAGGCCTGTGACCAGTGGTGTTCTACAAGGATCAGTGCTGGGACCTCTGTGGTTTGTAACATTTAGAAGTGGTTTGAATGAAGATGTAGGTGGTCTGAATAGTAAGTCTGTGGATGACACAAAAATGGGTAGAGTTACAGTGAGGAAGATTGTCATATGATACAGCAAGATATAGATCAGTTGGAAAGTTGGGTGGAGAAATGGCAGAGGGAGTTTAATCCTGGCAAGTATGAGATGATACACTGTGAGAAGTCAAATGCAAGAGGCAAGTATTCAGTAAATGGCAGGATTCTTAGTAGCATTGACATACAGAGGGATCTTATGTTCAAGTCCATAGCTCCCTGAAAGTGACTATACAAGTTGATAAGCTGGTAAAGAAGATGGCATGCTTGCCTACATCAGTTGGGGAACTGAGCATAAAAGTTGGCAAGTAATGTCACAGCAGAATAAAACTTTAGTTGGGCAACATTTCGAATATTGTGCACAGTTCTGGTTGCCACACTATAGGAAGGATGTGGAGGCTTTGGAGAGGGTGCAAAAGAGGTTTACCAAGATATTGCCTCATTGGAGTGTATTAGCTTTAAGTAGAGGTTAGGCAAACTTGGATTGTTTTTGCTAGAGTGTCAGAGGCTGAGGGCTGACTTGATAGAAGTATGGGAGTCATGGATAGGGTGGATCATCAGAGTCTTTTTCCCATGGTGGAAATGTCAAATATACTAGGTTAAAGATGAGAGGGGAAAAGTTTAAAGGAGATGTACACAGAAGGTGGTAGGTGCCTGCAACACACTGCCAGGGGGAGATGTAGAAGCAAATACGATAGCAATGTTTAAAAGGCATTTAGACAGACACATGAACAGGCACGGAATAGAGGGATACATGTGCAGGCAGATGGGATTAGTTTTGAATAGCATCATGGTTGGCACAGTCTTGGTTGGTTGAAGGGCCTGTTCCTTTGCTGTACCATGCTGTTCTACTTTGCTGTTCTATGTTCTATATTAATAGTCTTACAGTCCTCCAACACCATGACTGTAACCAGAGAGGATTGGGAAATTATAATTGGAGCCTCACAATTTTCTTCCTTGTTTTTCTTAACAGCCTAGGATGCACTTCATTCAGGGTTGGCATTTTGCCTACTTTCAAAAATACTAAGCCACTTAATATTTCCTCTTTTAATAAGTTTGGCCTGTCTAATATTTCCCTCCTGCTCCTTTACTACAATTTCTGTACTGTCCCTTCCTTTTGTGATGCAATGTATTCACTGGTTTGTGGTTTGCCTTCATTACTGAATCTGATTTGGATGAGTGTCTGGGTAACTTGTAGCTTGGTATATATTAGGAAAGTTTCCTTATTTCAGAGTGACTATTGTCAGACTCTGGTAGGTTTCTAAACAGATCCCCTGTACACTGTAAAGCACACTATACTGTGAGGTAGTACATCTCTCTCTGGTACAGGCTGTTCCTTCTCTGTCCTCAGACTCTAGCACATGTCAGTGTTACATCATTGTGCCGTTACCCTACATTCATTAAGATGACAAGGATATCATGCCCATAACTTCCACCTCCACACACAGCTTACCTTCTCGATCACTGTTCAACCCTTATTCTTTCTTTAGTTTCCTTTTTGAGCTTCTGCATTTATAAAACAGAGGAAAGACAGGGTAACGGGTATTTTCAGGCTGAATGAAGGTTTGTAGTGGAGGTCCCCAGGGGTTGGCATTGGAATCCTTACTTTTCCTGATACATATATAAATTATCTAGATACTGATATACAAGGAACAATATCATAGTAGCAGTTGACATGAAACTTGGGAGAATTGTAAACTTTGCGAAGGACAACGTAGAAATTCAAAAGGACATTAATATATTGATAGAGTGGGCAGATAAGAGCCAGAGGAAGTTTAATGCAGAGCAGTGAGACAGGCACTTTGGTATAAAGAACATGGACAGACAGTATAAAGTAAAGGGTATTGATCTAAAAGGCATACAAGGAGTAGCGAGACCTGGGTGTATTTGTACAAAAGTCATTAAAGGTTGGGTTCAGAAGAGATTTACCAGGATGTTGGCAGATATGGAAGGTTTGCATTATAAAGAAAGGGTGGGCAGGCTGGGACTTTTTTCACTAGAGCGTAGGAGGTGGAGAGGTGACCTTATAGAAATTTATAAAATAATGATGGGGTATAGATAGGGTTAATGGTAGTTATCTTTTCCTTAAAATGGGGGTTTTCAAGACTGGGGGCACATTTTTAAGGTGAGAGGAGAAAGATTTAAAAAAGACATGAAGGGCAAATATTTTACAGAGGAAGATTTGCATGTGGATTGAACTTCCTGAGGAAGTGGTGGATGTGGGCACAATTACAATGTTTAAAAGACATTTGGATAAGTACATGAATAGTAAAGGTTTGGAGGGATATTGGCCAGGAGCAGGCAGGTGGGACTAGTTTAGTTTGAGATTATGTTCGGCATAGACTGGTTGGACCGAAGGGCCTGTTTCCGTGCTGTATAACTCTATGACAGGTAGAGAGAACTATTAATAGAGCATACAATATTCTGAGCTTCATTAATAGGGGCATAGAGTACAGGAGCAGGGAGGCTGTGATGAACTTATATAAGACACTGGTTAGACCTCAGCTAGTGAATTGTGAACATTTTCAGGCTCCACACTATGGGAAGGATGTGAATGCACTAAAGAGAGTGCAGAAGCAGTTTATGAGAAAGTTTCCAGTTATGAGGAAAGAGTTGAGAAATTGGGATTGTTTTCCTTGGACAGGACACAGCTAAGAGGAGATTTGATGGAACTTTTTGAAATCACGTGGAGCCTGGACAGAGTGGCTAAGGAGAAATTGTTTCCACTCATAAACAGATCAAGAACTGGAGAGCACAGTTTTAACTCTGGTCCACAACCCCTGTTCACTCTTCTTCAGAACTGGTCCTAGATTTCACAGCAGTCTCCTCCTGTGCTTCTGTCAAAAGTTTAAAAATGAACCTATTTTCCAATGCCTTTCAGTTCTAAAGAAGAATCATGCCAGACTCGAAACATTAACTCCATTTCTCTCTCCACAGATGCTGCCAGACCTGCTGAGTTTCTCTGCCACTTTCTGCTTTTATTTCAGATTTCCACAGTATTTTGCCTGTGTATGATTCACCACCATTTCTACTTCAGTTAAAGACCAGCATTTTCACTAATTCAGGATATCCCAAACCACTTTAGAGCCAAGTCAACTTTTGGTAATCACTGTAGTTTGGAGTAGAGAAATGTGACAGCTAATTGTACACAGCAATCTCCTGCATTGAGCAATAGCTGGATGGGATGTTTCATTTCGACTGGGAGAAACACCTACCTCTTTGTATGCTGCCATGGAGTCAGTTACATTCAATTGCTTGGAGATCATCAAATATTCACATAAAAAGAGCAAAATGATAAAAGAAAGGGCAGCTGTCACATTTATTATCTATTATCATAACTGTAAACAACAGGAATGGAAACATGAAATAAAAACTGCTTCTGCACTCTCTCCAAGGCATTCACATCCTTCCCATAGTGTGGTGCCTGAAACTGTTCACAATTCACCAGCTGAGGTCTAACCAGTGTCTTATATAAGTTCATCACAGCCTCTCTGCTCCTGTACTGTATGCCCCTATTAATGAAGCTCAGAATATTGTATGCTTTATTAATAGCTCCCTCTACCTGACATACCTTTAATGACCTTTGCACATACAGACCCAGGTCTCTCTGCTTTTGCATGCCTTTTAGATCAATTGTGCTGGAAGAACTCAGCAGGTCTGGCAGTATTTGTAGAGAGAGAAATGGAATCAACATTTCAAGTCCAATATGACTGTTCCGAATAACAGATACTGCCAGACCCCCTGAGTTTCTCTAGCATTCTCTTGTTTTTTATTTCAGATTTTTAGAATCCAAAGTATTTTCCTTTTATTTAAGATGGAAATATGATGTAAACACCCATGATTCCATTAGTTATTGGAAATATAATCCTTATTCAGGAAGGCAGAATGTTAAATACTTACTTTGGAGGTGTGTTTGGAAGCTGACACTTTCTTGCTAGATTTGCAAGGCTTTGTTGATGCAGAGGACAGGTCTGACCTATTCTCCTTGCACTTATTGAGGTTACTAACAGGTCGGTATTGTTTGCGCAGGACTATCAGATCCTGTAGGTACTGTAGGCAGTCTTGTGTCCTTGACAACATCCAGACCCGATCTTCAGCTGTGATGTTGTAGAGAGAGGAACTCACACTTACAGCACTCTTGCTCCGTTTCAGAGAACTGCCCAGGCTCTGGTGACATTCCCCCATCAGGTAGAGGGAGGTGCTGCGGACCAACCTAATCTCACACTCTTCTCTCTGCCAATCTTTGTTTCCTCCGGACTCACTTAGTTTTCGTTCCTCATGTGGGCGAAACATTGAGTTCAGCTTCTTCAACATGACCCTCGTGCAGTGTCTCTGTCTAACTGAGTCAACAAACCACAGAGCTGTGAACAGTCGGTGGCTCATGACCTTGATAGACAGAAGCTCATCCTTAGATGGCACTTGTCGAGAGGTTCATCATTTCATCAGCACTGTGAAAAAAAGAGGCTTCTTTCACACTCCCAATGTGTGCGACAGTTGGCCCATTGGTTAAAAAAAACTATCCGTTCGAAAAATCTTCTTTCAACTCAATCCGTTAATGATCACAGATATTTAGCCATGACCACTGTAGCCAAAGACCAGGTACTGACCAAGGTGCTGAAAGGACACGTAGAGACACAGAGCTTGAAGCAGCCCAGAATAAATATAATGCTAACTAGTCCACAGGCCCCAGCTCACACGGCACTCAGCTCTGCATGTGTCTGGGTCAATGTAGAAGGCAGCAAAGTAACAGGGGACAGTCGATGCTCCAATAACAAGCTGAAGGGTTGAAATCCGATAGTATCTCCTTCCGTGTCACATGAGCATTTAGGATCATGTGTCGCCCTGTCCCTCTGCAAACAAACGTTCTTTTTACCTTCACTAACCAGTCAAATATCATTAATCCAAATTGTATCAATTAGGAGAAATGGAGGCACTATCAAGTATTGTACTTAACAGCTCAAATATCAATACTGACAAACGGAAGATACAGAGTGGCATGTTGCTTTCTGCTCGATCAAGAATATTTGGGAGAAAATAACTCTTTGCAGCAATTCTGAAAATAAATAAGATGTGGTTTTAGTTACATCAGTGCTGAACATTTCAAAGGACCTGAAATGTTACTGTGTTAAATCATGAATGGGATGGGATAAAGTTACTGTGCTCATGGGCCTGTCTCCCTACACAACAGGCTAGGCTAGGTTTCATTTATTAAAACTGTTATAAAGAAGAGCAGAAAGCAGTAACAGAATTTTACCGTGAACATTTAGTACTTTCCCAAGGAGTCCTGCTCCACTAGAAATACAAGATTAGATTTTAGGCAAAGAGAGAAGTTATTCTGAGCGCACAGACTGAGAGTTTATTAAAGCATATTCATGAGGATCTCTTCTACAACTGGCGGGTTGTCACAAAGGGATTTTGCAATGCAAGGTCACACCTATGCTTGGCATTTGTTATAGATGAGTTGAAGGATAGACATTGAACCAGACATCAATCTTCCCTCACAGAAAAACCTATCATCCCAGCAATCACTCTAGTGAAACCTCAATGCATTTTCTTTCAGAGAAATAGGTTCTTCCTTGGATAAGGAAAACAAGACTTCATACAATACTCCAAGTGTGGCCTCATCTATGCCCTACAAAACTTCAGCGATACTTTGTTACTTTTTTACTTTTAATTATTTTATAACAGAGGCTAACGTACTGTTTGCGTTCTGAATTGCTATGCCTGTATGTTGATTTTCTGAGATGCATATATAAGGCCATCCAGGTCCCTCTGAATGCAAATGTTTCCCAACCATTCAGCATTTAAAATCAAGGTAACTTTACATTTCTCCATAATATATTTATTGTCAAGCTCTTGTCCATCATAACTTTTCTGTATCTCACTGAATCATGTATTCCAGAACAATTACAGCACAGAAGAGGACCATTTGGCCCATAATTTTTGTGCTGGCTCTCTGGACAAGCAACTCTTCCATTTATCAATGTGCTTTACGCTAACTTGGTTTTCAGATAATCTAATCCCCTCTTGAATGCTTTAATTGAACCTCCATCCACCATACTCTCAGGCAGTGCTCTCTCGACTTTAACCACTCACTACATTTAGTTTTTTTGAACCTGTGTCCTCTCAATTTTGATTTTTCCACCAATAGGACCATTTTCTTCCTATCCAATTTGTCCAAACCTTCATGCTTTTGAACAATTTGATCAAATCTCCTCTCAACCTCTTCTTCTCCAAGGGAAATAGTCCCAACTTCTCCAACCTATCTGTGGAACAGAAGTTCCTCATCTCTGGACCATTCCTGTCACTTTTTTTCTGCATTCTCTCTAATGCATTTTTTAAAAGTGTAATGCTCAGAGCTGAGCACAATACTCCAGTTGAAGCTGAAACTGTGTTTCTGACCAGGTTTAACACGATAATATCCATGTCCTAACTAATAAAGCGTATGTAAACTTCTTTCTCAACTTGTCCTGCCATCTTCAATGATCTGTGCACATATACGTCCCAGTCCCTCTGCTCCGGCGCCCACTTCACAATGGTGCCCTTTACTTATGTTTGCTCTATGCATTCTTCCTTCTAAATTGAATCACTTCAGACTTCTCTATAATAGACTTTATCTGCCACTATCTCCCATTCCATCAACCTGTCTCTATCCTTGTAAAATTGTACATTATTTTCCTCATAGTTCATAATACTTCCACATTTTGCATCACCCATATATTTTGAAATTATACCCTTTACACCAAAATCTAGCTCATCAGTACATGTCAGGGACAGTGAGAGTCCGAACAAGAATCACTTAAGAACTCCACTGTAAATCTTCCAATAATGAAAAGCTTCCATTAACCAATACTGTTTGTTTCCTATCATAGAGTTGTAGTTATAGAGTCAGCAGCTCAGAAAAGGCACTTTGGACCATCAGTTTGGGCCAGTAAAAAAACAAGGACTAAAACATTCTAATCCCATTTGCTGACATGTGGCCCATAGCCCTGTCGCATCACAAGTGTACATCTAAATACTTCCCTAATGTTATGAGGGTTTCTGCCTCTACCACCCTTACAGGCAGTGAGTTCCAGATTCCCACAACCCTCTGAGTAAAAACAAATTTCCTCACATCCCTCTAAACTTACTGCCCCTCATCTATAACCTATGCCCCAAGTCATTGATCCCTCTACCAAGGGGAAACGTTTCTTCCTTTCTACCCTATCTATACACCTCATAATTGTATACATCTCAGTCATGTCCCCACTCAATCTCCTCTGCTCCAAAGAAAGCATTGTCCACTCTCTCTTCATAAATAAAACTCTCCAGCCGAGGCTCCATCCTGGTAAATCTCCTCCGCACCCTCTCCAATTCAGTCACACCCCTCCTATAGTATGGATTCCGGAACTGCGCACAGTATTCTAGCTGTGTGCCAACCAAATTTTTATACAGCTCCAGCATAACCTCCCTCAGCCAATAATGATACGTATCCCAAATTTCTTCTTAACCACTTTATCGATTTGCCTCGCTCCCTTAAGGGACCGGTACACATGCACACCAAGGCCCCTCTGATTCTCAGTATTTCTCAGGGTCCTACCATTCATTATGTATTCCCTTGCCTTATTGTCCTGCCTAACTGTATCACTTCACACTTATCCCGAGCGAATTCCATTTGTTGCTGATCGGCCCATCTTACCAGCCTTTACATTTCTTCTCGTAGTCGAAGACTATCCTCTTCACTACTTAACATTGCACCAATTTTTGTAATATCTGTGAAATGACTGATCAACTCTCCTACATTCAAGTCTAAATGATTTCTATAAACCAGAAACATCAAGGGCCCCAACACTGATCGCTGTGGATTAGTGGATATAGACTTCTAGTCACTAAAACACCCTTCGATGATTACCCTCTGTTTCCTGACACTCGGCCAATTCTGGATCCAGTTAGCCAAATTTCCATGAATCCCATGGGCTCTTGCCTTCACTATCAGTCTCCCATGTGGGACCTTATCCAAAGACTTGCTGAAATCCAAGTAGTCGATGTGAAATGCATCACCCTCATCTACACACCTGGTCACCTTTGAAAAATTCCTCCTATTAAAACTGTGCTGACTGTTCTTGATTAATCCCTTCCTCTCCATGTGCAGATTAATTCTGTCCCTCAGAATAGCTTCCAACAGTTTCCCCATCATTGAGGTGAGATTGACTGATCTGTAATTTCCTGGTTTATCCCCTCTTAAATCATGGTACCATATTGGATCCAGTCTTCCAGCACCTCTCCTGTAGCCAGGGAGGGATTAAAAATTATTGCTAGCACCCCTGCTATTTCTCAACAACCTGGGATACATTTTGTTCAGCCCTAGAGACTTATCTAATTTTAAACCTGCCAGGCCACCCAGAACCTCCTCTATGTCTGTGCTAATCTTTTTAACAATATCACAGTCCTTCTCCCTGATTTCCTCTCACTAGTGAACACCAAATACTCAGTTAATTTTGTATCTGTGATGATTATATCACTTTTATTCCATGAACTCCAACATTGCTCACAAGCCAGTTTATTTAAATGCCTTTTGGAAGTCTGAGTACACCACATAAAAGGATTACTTCATCAACCCTCTCTGCTACCTCATCGAAATACTCCAGCAAGTTAATTAAGCGTCAATTTCCCTTAACAAATTCATGCTGGTTTCCCTTAAGTAACCTGCAATTGCCCAAATGTCGATTAATTTTGTCTCAAATTATCACTTCCAGAAGCTTCCCTCTTTGCCATTTGTCCTCAGCAAACTTTGGGATAGTACATTCAGCCTTCTCATCTAAGTTATTGATTTATAGGTGGAGCTTCGCCTTACTGCAGTGAGACATAGTGCTCAACTCTGGGAATTTGCTAAGTGAGAAAATATTAAGAATTGCTCTCTTTCTAAAATCCAGTCGAGTTTAAATTTAGCATTTAATTTAACTGTAACAATCACGGATGTTTTCTTTCAATCTTTCAGTGAAAAGAAATTTCCTTTGCTGAGAGGCAGTTGCAGAGTTAGTTAATTATAAAGCTAGTTAGAACTGGTTCTGTATCTAGAAGTAACAGACTCCAATCACTGGAATTTCAACTATTAGAAATGCAGCCGTGCAAAGTAAGTAACATGAAGGTGAGGGACGCCTCACGCCTCAGCCCCATCCCAGGCCCCAAGCAAAACTTCCACATCAAACAGATGTTCACCTGCACATCTGCTAATGTGGTATACTGTATCCGCTGTTCCCAATGTGGCCTCCTCTACATCGGGGAAACCAAGCGGAGGCTTGGAGACCACTTTATGGAACACCTACGCTCAGTTC